CTCTTGTTCTGTTGATGCTAATGTTTTCGGGGCACATGTTCGTTCACTCACTGCAGCATAACTGAGAGGGTCCAACAAGGATGAGCTTATCAGTGCTTTCAAGCTAAATCCTGTGTTGGGTCACTTGGTCTTGAGATCAGGGAGCATTTCGGAAGCTTAGAAACAAGACTGTAGCGGATTGCGATGCATACTATTTCAAGGATACGAAGATAAAGTGGTCGTTGTTGTTGGCGTTGGTAACTCTGGAGGTGATTTGGCCGTCGAGTTGAGCAGAATTGCGAAACAGGTGACAGTTCGTTTTCGTTCGGCTGAGAATAGTGACAACTGTGTGGTATCGCAGTCAAGTAGGATTCAGTCAACTGAAGAAGAATCGTTTAGGTTTATTTGGTGTCCCGACGAGGCACTTGGGTGTTCAACCGAATATATGACTACGGCGAACCAATCGACCTAGCACTAAATAGGTAAATCCGGGCTAAAAGCCAAAGCCCTAAGTCAGAGCCTGCTTAGCAGACAGACGCCTCAGCATACATCGTACTTTTGAAATCTCCAGCGATGGGCATGTGGGCCGTATATACCCCTTCCAGCACTTTCTTGAGGAAAAAGCGCAAGATCGTCGGGAAAAACTCTGAAATCCAGGAAGACCGTAGCTAAGATGTGGAAGGGGAAAAATGCCTAACAGAGGTGGAAATTTCAATGAGGGAGGGGTCGTGTTTTCCAAAATTGTCCCGAAAGCTGGAACTTGCCCCGGGCCCACCCCGCTTCGGGAACCCCAGCCACCGTCTTTGTAAAAAGTGGCAACCATTCCCTATCATATATTACTGACAGAGTAAGATGAAAAAACACAATGAGTTCCTCGTGGTAGAAACTTTTGTGCTTTTTTGGAGCATTTTTGGTGATTTGGTGATGGTTAGCAAATTATGCCCGTAGAGTTGTACTCTGAATTTCATTATGGATGCTCATTTCAAAAGATGAAGGATTCGTAAAAACAAAAAGCCTAGTATCGCAATAAAGAGTCGGATTCCACTCCTTCTGTTCTTAGCCGATCAACATTCTGCATCTCAACTTGCTTTTGCCTTACCGAGTAACTTGGACAACTAGAAAAAGAAAAAAATGCGATAGATGGTACAGTGAGATTGTTATCGCGTTCTATAAGAGCATTTCATCAAAAAAGCTTTCTATTATAGAAGACACGTATTAGTATTTCGGCGTTTTGCACCAGAATGGCTTGTAAATACCATCGTCGAGAGAAAGCTCAACCAACGTTTCGATCATGAGCGCTATGGTTTGAAACCAAAACATCGGGTTATGAGGTAAGTTGGTAAAGTTGATGATATTTCCGAAACAAGATATAACTAGAAGCGTTCTTATTGCTTTACTTTTTCTTCTGCTTTCACATTTTGAATGTGTGGTTAAAAGTGGCACCCCTGTTGGGCTCCATTCATTTGTTTCAGCGCTCACATAACACTGAACGACGACTTGCCCAATCGTATCGCGTCTGGTACCATACGAGTGAAACCAAACATTCGTGAGTTCACCGAGCACGGCATAATCCTTCGAAGACGGATCCCACGTGGAAAATGTTGACGACGTTAGTCACTGCAAATAATAGCCTGAGCGCCTGTGAATGGTTAACTGTCCCGCGCTCAAGTAATTCCTGGTCGACATTCCTTTTGCAAGTACTCCAGCCTCCAAACTAGGATACTGTCCAACTTTTGCGACTCCACAGTCAGTGTGGAGGGTGCTACATCCGCCGAAAGTTCTAGTTCTAACATCCACTCAGTTGGGCCGCCCACCTAACGAATGTCCACTCTACACCTGATGCAGGGGCGCTCAGTTGTTGTATGTTGGGGCAGCGGGATAAGTCGGAATCCATTTTTGCCGACTGCCTCCTGCTGCAGATGCCGTATTCGAATTCCGCCCACAATCTCCTCAAAGTGCAGCACTTCCCAATAGCAAGATACCGCAACGAACTCACAAACAGCAGTGGAGAACAATCAGAATCAAGTGAGCACAGACAGACTATGCTTGGGCGTGTGGCTGGCCATGGTGCAGCGCACAAAGTTTACAGACAACACCAGAGTATTACTACCCTCTGCCCGTTCCCCTGTTCCCGTGCACTTTTGACCAGATAAAGTGAGAGGATGTCGTAGCTGCAGCCCGCTCGCTCCACAAATAGCAATGGCTAGGATCCGCAGAGACGATTGTACTGTATGCAAGTCCTTTGTCAACGTTCCAGTGAATTATTATGTGGCACATAGTCGAGTGTCACCAGAAAATATTGAGAATAACTCTACCACGACGGTCGGATGAATCATTGGTGAATCCCTTTTTTCTTATACAGCTCTTTCCAAAGTTCTGCTGAAATATCCAAGTAAGGTGGCGGCAAGCAGCCGAATAACAATGCGAGAAAAAAAAACTTCTCAGAAGAGTGAAGATTCGCTAAAAATACGGGCCCGCCTATCCGTTTGTCTTCGCTCTTCAAGTGCAGGGGCACAATGCGAAGGAACAAAGAAATAAGCAAAACGGTTATAGTATTCTTGGGTGCTGTCCTGAAGCTCGTTGACACACCGCATTTGTCCGCCGCATAGGGAGCCTGCCCTTTCAGATTCCGACGCGCGAATTCTTCACTATGCACCCGCAATAAGTGCCGAACGCAATCCAGTGTGTTGAGGGCAGGGTACAGCATCGTGGTTTGTGAAATGGCTGTCAGTACGACCCTTGCCCCGGAAAGGATCCTTGTACGGCTCTCCTCCCCTCTTCTGGCTCTAATTGCTTGCTGTGACGAGAAGCATTAGATACGTTACGACTTGCAAGGGCTTACGCTGACTATTGAATTGCTAATTTATCCTTTCAATATTTTGTAATCGTCCACAACATCCGGGTCCTCTGCTGCACTGCGTCTGCTCCACAAATTAGCAATGACACTTTTGTGCTGTTTGGTGGTCACGCGTTGACAACCCCAGCCCCCTCCCCCCCCCAGCGGCCGAGTACGCCCCTGATGGGTTTCGCACAACGATGCTACACCCTGGTTGCGGAGAGGTTACGAGGTTTAAGTCGAAAGAAAGGGGAAGACGTATGTATTACAGTGGAGAGTCTTTATGGGAATACGGAACGTTTGCCGCACTATGTGAGCACGCAGCTGTTGTCGGGAGATTCTCCACCGCCGTAGGAGATGTACCATATGTAAATCGGGAAGCCGTAGCGTGGGAGAACACGTGAACTGAGGTCGACGCGCTCATTTTGAGGGACACTGGAGATCGATGCGCGCGTTACTGAAGATTACCTCGTATTGTCGCGAGCGATTAAACCGATTCACAGTGGCATCAGATGGAAAATGTCAACCAACATGATGTTTAGCATAACGTTTTTGAGGCTTTCACTGAACTACTTTTCAATCCAATCCTGAGTGATGTATTTCAGGTCATATTTGCGACTGGCTTCAAATTTCATTTCCCCATGGTGGAAGGTGGAAAACTGATACCGGTCCACGAAAACGAGGTGGATCTGTATGAATATATGTATCCCCCGGAAACCGCAGACCATAACACTTTGGCTGTTATAGGACTCATTCAGGTAATCTTTTGATCATGTCACAGGACCAACAATTTTACAGCATCAAGATATGTGCATCCGTATTTCCTTGTTTCATCTGGTGGATCACATCAGTTCTTGCCCGGTCACGGATTTCTCACTGCAGACAAGTTCAACAACATACTAAAGTGGGCTTCCCCGCAGAGCTTGTCTCAAACCAACTTTTGCTCATCAAATTGCAAGCTCACCTACATGGACGCTGGACCTTGTTTGTGTGAGATGTATGGGTCCGCAGATGCAGTAGCGGGCCATTTTCTCCAGTCAAAAGGCGTGGGAACTTGGCGGGGTCCGAGTGCCATCTAACCAAAAACCTATCCATAACACGCCTGATCTTAGCTCTCGAGTGCGTATATGATGAGTCTACTCCTCTCAAACACTCGCAATTCCTCAACAAGTAGTGGAGGGGTGTAAAAAACTTGCCGAAATAGAGTACAGCTGGACAACATATCATTACCAGTACCGCTGACCGATTCGTCTATTATACTTGGCATTACCGCTACTCTATGTGCATTGGGTCGGTAGGATTAATTATAGCCACTGTGGCCAATGAAATGCTTGCTCCTAGTCTACTCGCTATAAATCCGCCCAACCCCAGAAACTTCTTTCTAACATGAATACCTGGATATTCGTCGTTATCAGAAGTATACTGTAGTTCGCTGCGGACGGTTGGGCGTGTCAGTGCGGCTGCGTTTGGCGCGGTGCCAAAGTTCTACACCAGTTGTTGAAGCGGGCAAGTGACAATACTGTATCATATGCTTCGTATTACTCGTTTTCTACCACTTTTTGTCGCATGCGCTCTTCAACAAGAAGGCAGAGAACGGCTCTGATAGGGTGACACACTCATACTGGCTGACACGCCCAACCGTCCGCAGAGAACTAGAGTGTATCTAGATAGCGACGGAGATACTGTATGTAGCCACCATCCCTGCAAGCGATAACGCGTGTGGAGGGGCATGAATTGAAGCGAA